AGGCTGGCTGCGTCCTGTGCCATCTGGGGCTCTGTGGTTGGATTTCTGGGAACAATGTGAAAAAACTGGCAGGCTTGGTAGTGGCCGGAGGCCTTTGTGGCCAACTGGCCGGGCTGAGGGAAAAGTCAGGTTGAGGTGACCCAGATGTACCAGGAGTAGAGGGCGCACACTCAGTTCCCCTTGGGGCAGAAACAAGAGGCCCAGGCTGGCTATGGCACACAGAGAGAGGGGGCACCATGGGGATCCAGAGAACTAAGGCCATCCAAGCCAAGCAGGAGCAGGGCCCTCTTGTCTCACCAAGTCTCCAGACTTCTTATTTTCCAGAAAATCAGGAAATTGACCTTTGTATAATATTTCCTGATTTTCTTTTTTTTTGAGACAGAGTCTCACAGTGTCACCCAGGCTGAAGTGTAGTGGCTCTATCTCGGCTCACTGTAACCTTTACCTCCCAGGTTCAAGCCATTCTCCTGCCTCAGCCTCCTAAGAAGCTGGGACTACAGGCACCCACCACCATGCCTGGCTAATTTTTGTATTTTTAGTAGAGCCAGGGTTTCACTAGGGTGGCCAGGCTGGTCTTAAACTCCTGACCTCGTGATCCACCCACCTCGGCCTCCCAAAGTGCTGGGATTACAGGTTTGGCCTATTTTCTGATTTTTAAACATTGGTTTGAATATCTAAAAAGCACCAGGTGGTCTGACAGAAGCTGGGTCTCTCCCATCTCCCACCCACCCCAGACGAGGACTGTCAATTTACAACCCTGCAGTTTAGTAAAACATTTCAGAACATGGACTTTGGTCTTGTTCTGTGGGTTTTGTGGCTGTTTGGGCAAGTTCCTTCACACCTCTGGGTCTGTGAAATGGGAACAAAAATTTAAAGGGGTGGGGAATATTGGAGACAGAGGGGCAACAAAAAGGATTTGGATCGCATCAGCTGGTGTGTTGTGGTCACAGGCAGGGAAGCACCTGGAGCCTGCTGTGACCTTGGACAATGAGATTGAAGATCAGGGATCTGCCTTTGATAAATAGAATGAGATAAGGAGTCCACCAACCGAGCCAGAGACCCAGTGCCTGGGCCTCCAGACCTGTTGGTGGCACTGCATCTCTGACAGTCTCCCTAACTCTCTTTCTCAGGGGGCCTGAACATGCCTCAAACCATGGCTTCCCTGCCTGGACTTAGGCAGGCCGTTGCCTGTCTGAGCCTCACTCACCCGTCGGACTTACCATTTGTGCTTGTTGTTGTTTACATTCTCAGTTGAGAGCCAGACATTCCAGTCTGTCAAGATTCTGCAAACAGATGTATTAGCTGCTCCTCCTCACTTCCTTCTTTTGCAGTTTGGATACGATTTTCACCAGAATTGGCCAGGAGTCTTTTGGTTGCAAGCAACAGATATCCCAAGATGGCTTAGCAAAAAGGAAATTTATAGTCTCATGCACCTGAAATGTCCAGGGAGTAGGGCTGGTGTGTTTTTAGTTGGGTCAAATGATGATATTGGAACCTAGTTTCTCTTTGCCATCTTTCTGGGTGGAATCCATTATTATCCAGCCTCTTCCAAAATATAGCTCCTCATCTGAAAAACTCCCAAGCCAGCGAAACTCCCTGAGGGCTCAATGAAAGAGTCCTTGTATAGAGTTTCACCAAGCGTGGTTAATCTGACTTGGATCATGTCCCACATACAACCAAATCACTATCCCAAGAGGAATGCAAAATGCTAATTAATATGCCTGGGCCATATCCCCCCTGAATGAGGTGGTAATGAATGAAGTCAACACCCCTAAGATCAAAATACAGGCTAGGAGTGAGAAAGGAGTGGTGACCCCAGAGCTAAACCAAGTTCGGTTACCTGAAATAAAATGAATGGGTGTTTGGTGTCCCCAGCTCTCCACACCCCCAAAAAGAATATTCACCTTGTCTTCTATCAAAGTACTATTTAGATGGTGGTTATAAAGGGTAATGTGGCTTTAACCTCTAACACCCACTGATCTGTAGGGCTAGCTTGACTGATCTTGGATTCCCTCTCAGACCTCATCTCCTAGAATTGCACTAACCCAAAGAAAGTAAGGACTGTCTTTCCACAATACGACAAAAATATTCAATAGAACATTTTTTGGCTTCAAGAGACCTCCCAAACCAGTCATAAATCCATTCAGACATGAATTTATCTGACTCTGCCATAATTTAATCCCTGAATCTTCATCCATCAAAAGAGGTTTTTATTTTTAAATTTGATCAGATTAATGCAGGGCAGGTTCTTGGCTTCACTCAGGAAGAAATTTAAGATCCAGCTAGCTGGTGGTGGAAGAAAACAGCCTTACTGAGGCAGCAGCAGTGTTAGAGCTCTGTCCCTGCTCCTGCAGAGCAAGGCTACCCCATGATGGCGAGAACAGCCTAGCAGTCATATGTATACCCACTTTTAATGACATGCTAATTAAGGGGGCAGGTGATTCAGAAATCACCAGAAAATGGGCGGTAACTTTTGGGTGTTGCCATGACAATGGTAAACTGTCATCGCACTGGTGGCTATGTTTTATGAAGAGGTGCTATTGCTGCCTCTTCCGTGTTTGGCCAGTCTTCCATCTGGTCCAGAATCGAGTTTTGCCTACTTCCTACCTCAAAATGATCCACAGTTCTAAACAGCTGGCTAAAGTCCATGTGGACTCTCTCTGATGCTGTCAGACTACAGACCCTAACAAAAAGGGGAAAGAAGTTGGTTTTCTCTTCAGGAGGCCCAGTTAACTACAGAACACAACACTCTTTGTTCATAATTATTTAAACATTCATGCCTTAAAACTTGCCAGACTAACATCAACCAGTCTGGAGTTCCTAGACATCCCAAAACTCCACCTCCCCCACAATGGAAATCATGATGCAAAATGAAGATGTCAGTTGTATAAAGCTGGTCACAACAGCACAGTTTCACAGGGGACTCCATCTGAAAATATCCAACAGGGCCCAAAAGGAAAGCCTTCAAAAATAATGCATTGGATTAAACCATATGAAATTACTTTTTTTTTTTTTTTTTTAAGATGGAGTCTCTCTGTTGCCCAGGCTGGAGTGCTGTGGCAAAATCTTGGCTCACTGCAACCTCCACTTCTTGGGTTCCAGTGATTCTCCCACCTCAGCCTCCTGAGTAGCTGAGACTACAGGTGTCCACCACCATGGCTGGCTAATTTTTTGCATTTTAGTAGAGATGGAGTTTCACCTTATTGCTTAGGCTGGTCTCGAACTGCTGAGCTCAGGCAATCCACGCACCTCGGCTTCCCAAAGTACTAGGATTATAGACATTAGTCCCCTTGCCCGGCCAAAATTGCTATTTTCGTAGGTCAATAATAGTCAAATATCAACAATTTTATATGGTCACAACCAAATATATCAGGGAAGCACTGGTTTTCAAAGTGAGGTCCACAGGCCCCTGGGAGGTCCCCGAGATCCTTCAGGAGGAACTGTGAGGTCAAAATCACTTTCCTAATAATCCTGAGATCTTATTTGCCTTTTTCACACGTGGCCATTTTCCCTGACAGTGCAAAAGCAATGGTGGGCCAAATTATACGAAGCTGAATTTAATTCATTTACTTCAACTAAAACAACAGATTGCAGCAGACTGAATGTGAGAATCCAGCTATCCCTTATTAAGCCAAACATGAAAGACAGTTGCAAAAATGTTAAATAGTGCCCTTCTTCCCACTGATTTTTTTTTAATTGAAAAATATTTTTGAGCCAGGCATGATGGCTCACACCTGTTGCCTCAGCACTTTGGGAGGCTAAAGTGGGAAGATTGCTTGAGGCCAAGTGTTTGAGACCAGCCTGGGTAACACAGCAAGACTCTGTCTCTAGAAAAAAAAACCCTTCTTTTAATTAGCCAGAAGTGGTGGCATGCACCTTGTAGTCCCAGCTAAGTCAGGAAAATGGCTGGAGCCCAAGAGTTGGAGGCTGCAGGGAGCAATAGTCACACCACTGCACTCCAGCCTGGGCAACAAATTGAGACCCTATCTCCCTTCACTAAAAAAAGAAAGAATTCATAAAAAACCTTTTATTTATGTCAACAAGTAATGGGTTTATTAGTTATAGTTGTAATGTATTAATAATTTTTTAAGTATCAGTTTTAATTTCTCATATGGCAAGTATCAATATATAAAAAAAAGACATATATGTGTTAAAAACACATGTTTGCCGGGCATGGTGGCTCAAGCCTATAATCCCAGCACTTTGGGAGGCTGAGCTGGGTGGATCACGAGATCAAGAGATCGAGACCATCCTGGCCAACATGGTGAAACCCCTTCTGTACTAAAATACAAAAAATTAGCTGGTCATGGTGGTGCGCATCTATAGCCTCAGCTACTTGGGAGGCTGAGACAGAAGAATCGCTTGAACCCATGAGGTGGAGGGTTGTAGTAAGCTGAGATCGTGCCACTGCACTCCAGCGTGGGGACAGCAAGACTCAGTCTCAAAAAAAAAAAACAAAAAAACAAAAAACACGTTTATTGGTTGTGTGTGTGTGTGTGTGCATGTACATACCCTACATAAA